GGGAAAGCAGCTGGGGCCGGGTGGGGGTGGGGGTGAGCAGAGCCAGAAACAGGAAAGCAGAACGCACCTCTGCCCCTGGAGGGAGGACACGTTCCCCCTACGGCAGTGCCCCCTGAGAGCTGAACCACCCCACCCTGACCATTTGGAGGCAGCTAGGGGGCTTCCCCGGACTGGAGAGAACCAGAGGGGTAGGGGAAGACAGCCCAGAGCCGGTCACGGGCAGGAGAGGGTGGAGGTGTGGAGCAAGCCTCCAGTTTTTGGCCGTGATTCCTAGGCCCTGGAATGGGGCGGTCCTCTTGAGCGCCATGCCCAGAGGGGCATATCTAGAGAGAATGGATTCTGTGGAGTGGAAGCCAGGGCAGCAGCTGTGGCCTGAGGCCTTAGTGTACAGAGTTTGAGGCACCCAGGGACCCGGCAAGAGGCAGCATAAAGGGGAAGTGTCACAGTCCCTTGTCAGATTAGTATCGCCCCAAGCACTGTGTGGAGAGGTAGGCGCCACCCGCCCAAGGGCCCCCTCCCTCAGTGTTCCTCAGAGGCCTCTCTCTGACCAGGACACCAGGATGCCTCCAGAGACACCTGGGGGGCAGGGACACTAGAAGCGGAGGGAGAACGAGGGTGTGAAACTTAGTTTAAAAAAAATAATAAAAGTAAAAAGAAAATAGTACCAAGGGGGTGACTGCAGTCTGGGGTCCTGATCCTGCCCTTATCCCCCAGGGCTGGCTAGGCCTTTCCTCCAGGCCTGTCATCCTGAGCCCCTGACACCTATTGCGAGGGGCGGCTTCAGGGCGCCTCCCACCCCATCCAGGGGGGGGGGGGGGGATCCTAGCAGGAGTGCCACTAGCACCTTTAGGCCACTAGTCCCCAGGGCGACTGAGGGGAGGGGCAGGGGTGAAGTGTGGGGCTTGGCAGAGACTCTAGCGACCGAGGCCTTAGGGAGCAGAGAGCAGATCAGGGCTGGACTCTTCTGAAAGCCATCAGAACTTGGCTCATTCAGCTCTCCAGTCCTTGCCAGGAATGTGAGGGCCCGCGGTTGACTGCGAGGGACAGCTGGGTACAGGAGGGGCTGGCGGTGTTGCCTAGAGCCCATCTTCGGGCAGTGGGGTCCTCAAGCAGTCCCTGCGTCCCTCTCCACACCCCTCCCCACACACGCCATCCTCCATGAGAAAGTGTCAGTTGTTTGCCATTTGGCAAATAACAGCCCACCGGGGTAATATTTGTACAACGTACAAAAACGCCGTACGTTGTCTTCTCTACAATAGAGAAACCTATTGTCTTCTCTGATCCTTGCCACGATCCTGTGAGGTAATAGGGCCCGTATACGTTTTTTTAAACAGAAGAGGAAACCAAGCCTCCATGAAAGTTTTGTTGTTGTTGTTGTTGTTTTGTTTTAGCGGTTTTGCTCTGGGACACGTGGTTTGTGCCTGAACTGAAGGTCAGGTGGTCCAGCCCAGAGCTTCTGCCGTGTTCCTGCATGGAGGACATGCATGATGTCCTTTAAATCTCCAGCAGCCTTGCATTACCCCCATGTCATAGACAAGAAAAATGAGGCTCAGGTTAAGCAACATGCTCAAGCTGACAGGGACAGAAATCCTGTCTGACTCCCAAATGCAGTGCTCATTCCATGGTATTGGCAGAAGTGCCTTAGCTACTCTGGGTCGGGGAGTGACCTGAGGTACCCTGAAAGCTGGAGACATGCCCCTGCTTCCCCAAGATGCAAGCTGTGCTTTTGCTTTTAGGGAGGCCCTGTAGGAAATGGTATGACTTGGGAAAGACAGGGATGCCCCCTACCCCACAGAGAGGAAGCGGGATGTAGTGGGGACAGAGCCAAAGCAGGTCTCTGTTCCTCTGGGCAAGTTGGGGTTCCGATCTTAACCTGGGTGCAGGGGAAGTTCTTGGTGGGCCGGGGTGGGGGGCTCCGGGAAAGAGGGGTCCCGGATCTGAAGGGTTGGAAAGAAAAAGGAAGCCAGGAGATCCCGCAGGCCCGGTAGGGACTCTTCTAGGTCCTGTTCATGGTCAAGGAACATCTAGAGACACAGTGACCACAGAGCCACAGAGAAGCAGGTGGGGGCCTGAGCAGATGTCTGGGTCAATCAGGGGGTCCCCCGTACCTGCCAGGGAAGTGGGCCAGGTGTGATGCGGGGCCCCGTGCCAGGGAGGGTATTAGATGAGCTTCCAGCTTATTTGCATGTCCTAATTAACCATAAAATGAGCCCCAGGGGCAGAGTTAAGCTGTCAATTTCCCTCTGCTTACCTTCCCTACCTTCCCCTCCTCCTGCTGCTCCCCACCCCTACACTTCTCCTACATCCCGTAGGCCCCAGACATTCCCATTCACCTCTCCCCTCAGCTTCAGTGGAATACAGTCTCCATCCTGTCACGACCAAAGCCCAGAAAAGGAGGGAAAAGGAAAAATTAGTGGTGCGGGGCAGGGCGTGTAAGTGAATTGTGTTTCATTAGCAAAGCATGACCTAGTGATGAGGGCATTCTACCAGCCCTTGTCAAGACCAGAGCAAAATTCCCCCAGTGGACAATAAGCATTCCATTTATTATCCATGCATGGATAATATGGGGAGGACAGGTTCTGTTGTTGCTCTTGACTTGGCTTTGGAGCAGATATGGACACTTTGTGGGGTAGTGTGAACAGCACAAGGCCGGAAGTCTGTCGGGACCGTTTCAATCCCAGCTCTGTGGCTGTGACCTTGGGCAAATTGCTTGACTTCCCAGGGCCTCTCCATGCAGAATAAGAGCAACAGCAGCCACTTCCAGAGTGAGGCGAGAAGGTAACGTGAACGAACGCAAAGATGGCGATAGCGTTGCCCCAGGCCTGGGGATTCTGTTGCCAGCAAATGTCACTCCTAATGGTTTTGTTCTGGCCCAGTTAAAATGAGTTCATTCCCTTGGATCCCTTCTGGCTAACTGATGGGTAAAGAGTTGTTTCTTCTTACTGAACCCCTTGAGCCAGGAACCGGGTCCTCTTCCTTGCTGTGTTTTGATCCTGTCCCGATGCCCGGCCTTTAGGAGATGTTCATAAAGTTTTGTTCAGTTGGGTCTGGATTGTTATGACTGGTCCACAAAACAGATGAGTCACAGATGAACGGCCAAGAGGGGACTTGGTTTCCTGCGGAATCATTCCGGACTGGGAGCTGGTGACTTCACCACCACCCAGTGGGAGGAGCCTTCACCCACACCCACCCACCCACACACACACACACACACACTGAACATAGGCACACAGCACCACCAGCACCAAGGCAGCCACAGCCAACAGGCCTTCCCCCAGGACTGAAATATCAGAGTTCTGTGGGGAGACAGGATGGGTAGGGCCTTGCTCCTCCAGAAAGCGCTGCCTCAACTGGCAAACTTCAGGGAGAGTACGAAAGGCCGTTTTTGCGGCCAGACAATCCTGATTCTTCCATGAGCCAGAAGCCTAATCTGGGCAGCCTATGTGACCCCCAAGGGCTTCCACCCACTTACTGGGAAGACCATCATTTCTAGGGTCATTCTGAAGTCTGAAAGACACTGCCTGGCAGATAGCGAGCGCTCAAGGAAATGAATGAAATTAGCACCTTCCCCTCGTAGCTTCCGCCAACAAAAACTTCTACGATTTGATTGCGTGGGGATCTGAGCGCGATCCTCACCGCCCCCCAATTCCCGCTGTGCTGCTGCTGCGCTAAGCCTCCTCCTCCAGCTTGGTCTCCGGGGGTCCAGGATGCAGGAAGAGGCTTTCTTGTTATTTTTCTTCTCCAATTTGTTAATGCGCCTAAGGCGGGAAGGCGTCTTGCCTCTAATTGCAGCTGTCACCCCCCCCCCCCCCCCCCTCCATCAAGCGGAGAGGAGCTCAGTCTGGAGGAGCGAGGCGGGGAGAGGGGGAGTGCCTCCAGGGCGGGCCGGCCCAAACAGGGACCCACATTGTCTTTTCCCAAGCAGCGGGCGGTCCCCGCGGGCGTGGGCGGGCCGGCAGCTCCCCGGGGGGGCGCGGACAGCCACGTGCGCCGCTCCAGGAAAGCTTTAGGCGCCTCGAGTACGGAGCGGAGTTGCCGCCCTTCCCCCAGCCGCCCGATCGTGGGGTGGAGCTGGGAATCTAAAACACGGGGCGTATTTCTTACGGGCCCACCTTGGCCTCGCTGGTGAACGCCCTGTGCCTGCGTCCGGAGCTGGGCGGGGGAGGGAGGTGGTGAGGGGGGCTTTCAGTGCTGGAGGCGGGGTGTTGGGGAAGGAGCTCCTGTGCCTCCAGGGCCCTGCTGCAGCCCTTGGGTCAGCCCTGCGCCGATCTGCCGCCTGCCCGCAGGTGGCATATCTCAGCTTGCTTCCTCATCGGGAAAAGGGGGCTAAACTGCCTTACTTGCTTACTCAAAAGGAGATAACGGATATGGGATATGAAAAGGCTTTCAAACTTTAAAGTGCTATACAGATATCTTTCCTGTGCTTTTGAAAAGACATAGGGCTCCCTCGAGTACTCCTATACATACACTCCTTATTAGGCCCATTTCCCAGGATCCAGGTATGGGCTGAAATCTTGAAGGCCAACAGGGAGAGGTGGGAGTGGGAAGTTTCCTCTCTGCTGATCCCTATCCCAGGAGGGCTGGGGTTTCATGCCTGTGCCTGGAGCAGTGCTTTGCCAGGGATGCCAGCGGTTATAAGGTTGGGGACACAGGAGCCAAGGTCTTTATTGGGGGCCTTTCTAGGGGAACATGAGGCCCCAGTGCCCTAATCCATACAGAATGTTTAGTTGGGGCAGTGAAGGAATGTAAGAATTTCCTGGTCTCCTGCCCCATGCCCCTCATCACCTGCAGCCCCAAGGTGAGCACCACTCTCTCAATCCCGCTTTCAGTCCGGGAACCCTCATCTCCCCACCAGCCAGCCCCCACCACAGCCTCTACCAACCGCATGCCTGTTAGTCCTACTCCAGACACTCTCGCTTCTTTTCCCTCCTTCCTGGGAAGAAGGAACCCAGAGTTAGGCTTTTGAAAGCCATAGCACCCGCCCCCCTCCCCCCATCCTTCCCAGGGCCCAGCACTGGGGACCTGGACCTTTTGGGTTCAGTCAACGTTCTGTCTCTAGGATTCAGACCCAAACAGCTGTGTTAATATCAAAGCCAGAGGGTGAGGGTTCCAGGGCCTTGGGGCAGCTTGTGGAAGGACTTTCCCCCCTTCTGGGCTCGGCAGTGCTCGGGAAGGGGAAGTGTCCAGAGCCCTTGGAATGGCTCCGCTTCTTGACCTTGTGTGAGCGGGCGGCTCTGGGCTCCGAGGCCGTGGGTGTCACCCAGCCCGGTTTCTCCTTCAGCAGCCTGTCTCGGTCAGGCCGCACGCTGCGCAGGAACTTCCTAAAGATGTTTGCTGTGAGGGCAAACCTGCGGCCCAGCTCCCGGGGCTGGCCCTTCTCCCCCTTGGGCTCCCCTGCCTCCCCCTTCTCCCCACCCTTCTCCAGTTCCGGCAAATCCAGCCAGTTGCCCACCAGGTCCGCAAAAACATTGTCACCTAGGACCAGAGGCTGTCGATTCCGGCCCCGGGACATCAATGTGGAGGTCCAGTCTTCCGGTTCCGCCAGCTCTGGCCCCTGCTGGGCACAGCTTTGGTGCTCTGGGAGCTGTGCTCTGGTCAGGGGGACCGGATCCCTCCCACAGACACTCCTACAGGACGGAAACTTCGTGCCAAAAGGTTGGTTGGAGGAGGAGCAGGCCGTGGGCCTGGCAGGGGCCTGGGGCTGTGTCCGGGGGCTTTCAGGGCAGCCTGGGGCAGGACTCCCTCCAGAGATCTCCAGCTGTTCCAGTGCTGCCTGCACCTGAAGAAGCTTTAGTTCTTGCAGCGCACCCATCATGCAGTTCATCTGATCCTGCAAGCCATCACCCACTTCCTTCATAGACATCTGCAGGGGATAGAAATGCACAGGCCCATGAGCCACGGGGGGCTGGGGAAGCGCTGCCCCTTACTGGCCCTGAACCTAGACGCCCGCCCAAACATACACCTCTGGGGTCATTCCAGCCCTCCACTGACCCCACCTCCACAGGGCCCAGTGCAGTGCAGATGGGAGCTGGGAGAGGAGGAATCTTAACGCCCATATGGCTAGTTAAAGGAAATCATATTAATGGCAGCTAACGTGCTAAGGCAGGTGCTGTCCTCAGCTACATATATGTAAATACAGACACATATATAAATGGATCTGTGGCTAATCTCCCCAACTAGTCTATGAGGTAGTGACTAGTACTAGATGAGGGAACGGAGGCGTGTGAGTAGCTTGCTCGAGACGACGCAGATACAAGAGGATGCGCGAAATGGTGGTGGCCGTCTTTGTCTTTTTACGAGGTGCTGCGCCCTCTTTGCGAGCCTCCCTGAGACAACAATGACGATGACGATGATCATGGCCACGATAAGAGCAGTTTGTGCATGTTCGCTATGTAATAGGAACTGAGCTACCTGCTCTAGGCACATCACGTCTTAAGATCTTTATATAAACCCTGTGAGGTTGCCATTAGTGCTCTCATTTTAGTGAGTTAACCATGGCGGAGGTGAAGTAACTTGCCTAAGGTCATCTAGGTCATATCGCTGGGCCTTGGACACAGGACACCTTGCTCCAAATGCTATATACCAAGCACTGCCTGCCTCAAGATGGCTGGACAGAGGAGCTGGGCCTTAAGGCTACTCTGCCCTCCCCAGGGCGCTGGAGGAGGCTGGAGGACATGAG